TTATGTTATAAATATCATTGTGATTATCATTGATAATTTCAGATCTACTGGTGTAGGAATAATGACATCATTCATCAGTAAGAGATAGTGATTGATTATGCGTTTGGGGACTGTGGACTTGACACACATACACACACACACACACACACACATTCATTAACATTGATAAATTTAGCTCAGTTTCAATTCAAAATGCCATATTTGACTTAAATTTAAATAAACTGTCATATCACTAATTTGAGATCCTTTTCTTTTTTAAATTCATCATAATGTAGTATCAGTTGTTCAGTGCACTTTATGTTTATTCATTTTGTGAAATAAAAATACTTGGAGAAAGAAAGATTTTCTTGTTGACAGTGTGTTGCTGCAACTCCATGTTTGTTGTCGATGTGCTGGCAGCTTTTAAAGACAACTGTCAAAATTGTTCTCACTTTGATCATAAAACTATTAATGAAGAAAAAGTAAAAGAATTTTGTTTTTTGATCATTTCTGATTTAATCCCCCTTGCCTCATCCTCCTCTCAGTGGTTCAAAAAGCGCTCCCTGACCTCTGACCTCTGAGGCTGGGCAGTTCACCACACTCCCTAAAAACCAGCAGCACAGTATCGACCTGCAGGCTGCTGCTGACTGACTCATCTCTGTTTAGGACAGATTGAGAAGTGAGGGTGTTTTGCAAAGTGACGACACTCTAGTTAAATGAGGACATTTTGGAAAGTGGGAACATTCTAGCAAAGTGAGCACATTTTAATTAAGTGAGGACCTTTTAGTAAAGTGGGGAGATTTTGACTTGTTTTAAAGGTTAGTGTTAGAATGTAGTTAGGTTTGGGTTTGGAGGTAGGGGACAGATTATTTCACAAATGCTCACAGATGGAACAAAGCGAGGTGACAGACCAGGGGAAGCTGATGTGAAGACTCAGTGAAATGAATGAGGTGAGATCATTAAACTGACCAGGTGAGATGAAGTTGAATGAAGATATGAATTAGTGTGAGATCAGTTGTTGAGATGTAATGAGATAAAGTCTTGGTAAGATCAACCGAGAGCCATTAAATGAAATTAAGGAGTTCGATCTAGACCTGCTGTATTTGAAAAGTGTCCTGAGA